AAAAAAAATCTTATGCTATAATCCGACTATATGACTAAAACATTTAATAGCTTAAACATTTTCATCTTGTTTAGATTGAGCTAAAGAACATGAAATGTTAAAATAAATATATTCATATGGTTAGGAACATATAAGCATAAGACCAATATCCATTTTATATAAACGACTTGTGATATTTATATGCATATCGACATATTATTCTAAAAGTATATAATAAAACAATTTAAAGAAACGGTTGCGCCTCGTCACCAAGGCTCTAATCAAGAGATCATGTCATAGTTCACGTGGAGATGTCAGTCAAACCTGGGCAAGTCAACGAAGACTTATTTGGTCAAAATAAAGATGTCGAAAAGCGAAGCACCCCCTATTTTCTTTTTTTGGCCGAGGTCTTCAAAGAAGAAGCCGAAGTCCCTTGCACCGAAGACCTCCGATACGAAGTTTCCCAAGGCTGAAGTCCTTGTCATCTGTAGAGGATCCATAGGCAATTGTTAGGAATGATTTGACGTAATGTTTGTAATGATGAATATTAGGATTGTCAGCCTAGGGTATAGAATGACTTGTTCGTTGTCAATGTATTAAATGCATAGCAGATTGAGTGATGTATGGTTTAGGCCTGAGAGATGAGGCCACGTGGTTGTAATTCAATGACGACGGCCAGAATGCTATAAAAGCTCACAACTTATACCATTTGAGGAATAATGAAACCTTTAACACTTGAAATCACACTCAAATCTTCTCTCTTGCTTATTCCATTGTTATTTGCTTGTGTTTAGATTACTTCTATTTTGGTTGAGTTGTTTATGATTGTTTGATTATATGCATCTTTGATCATATTGACGGTACTTGAACATTTTTGTCTCGCGTCATAAAATATCTCCCACGTCCATAAACGCCATCCTTTCCCGTTCGAATCTCCGATCAAAACGTGCAGCAATTTACTTGCAAAGGCACGAGTGAGTCCAACATTTGTTATCCACATAATCGTTACAAAGAAGGGGTCAATAGAAACTAACTTCCTCATTTATTGAGGAATGAGTAAATACATATACATATACTTTTCTTCTTGCACCGTCCATGTTCCTTAAAGCCGTTTCCGATTTGGCGTCGGAAAGATGATTATAACTTTTTTTTTAACTACAATAAATTTATGATTGTTTGGTTATAAGAGATAATAATGATTTTCATTTTTCAAACAATAAAACTAGAAATGGGGACCAGCTTTGAACGCCTTCTACCTTAGAGATGGAAACATTTAACTTTAATTTTCTAAATCAGAGAAGTCAACTTTCAATTTGTTTGGAACATTAGTTTACCTTAATTATATACAAGAAAGTAGGAAATCACATTTTATTTCTATTATTTTATTGAATTACCAAATTAAGGTCTAATTATAAAGTCAATTATTAAATTGAATTGTATGGGCAAATGA